GACTGCGCGGCTACGGCGCGCGGCTGGAACCCCGAACGCAGCCCCGACAGCAGGTCTAGAGACATCTGGTCCATGACTGGGAGGTCTCGACACTGTGGATGGAGTAGTAGTAGCAGGAGGAGTGGTGTTGGAGGTGGTAATTGGCGGAGCTGGGTATGGGGATACGGCGGATGGCGGACGGGCGGGCAGCGAGGCCGGGGGCTGGGCCTGCGAGGCGGCTTGCGGTGGCGGCGGGCGCTGGAGACCTGGAGGAGGCGGCAGGGACATGATGAACGGGTGCTCGACAGATACAGATAGAGGTGCAGAGACAGGTATGATAGAGATGGAGGTAGGAGGCAGAGGGCTGCCGTCGAGTGTTCTGCAGGAGATGCTTGCAGCACACGTACCTTGAGTCCGAGCAGCCAACCTGGCAAACGAGCTTCTCCGATTTGCTTTCTTCTCGTCTTCTCGTCTCGCCTTCGTCTTGGTCTTGGTCTTTTTATCTTGTTTTTCTTCTACTTCTTTTGCTTCTTCTTCTTTTGCTTCTTTGAATCTTCAACTTTTGCGTCCTTGCGGAAGTTTTGAAGTTGATATCACGTGAAGCTGAGTAATGGCTGAGTAATCGTTAATGACTAAGACATTACCTGATAACCTTATTATCAAAAATTCTATTACTCAGAAATTATTAACATCATTATATAATCAAAAGTATTACGTAATAACCGCAAAAACAAAACACGAGAAAAGACGAAGAAGCAAAAGAAGCAAAAGAAAAGAACAAAAAGAACAAGCAGAAAGAATATAAAAGAACAAGATGACGACAGTGGAAAATACGAGACAGAGAGGGTGAAGTGAAGGGGGAAAGGCGGCGGAAATGCGGACGACCAGGAGGCGGCAGGGATAGGAACGACCAGGACCGACTAGGAATATGCACCCTCAGCTCCCGGTCGCTGGCCGCTGCAGGCCACCCAAACCATCGAAGAAACGCCAGTCCAGGGGAGGGATGCGATCGCTGCCCCTCAGTGACATAATGGTGCATCCCGGATGCCTGCACGTCTCGTCTCTTGCCCCCCCTTCCTCCCCTTCCTCCCCTTCCTCCCCTTCCTCGTCGCAGACATCAAGCAGGACCCTGACGGACGGAGAGACCCCGGCGGCGCCGGACATGACAAGTCATGGCAGGGTCGGGACGGAGAGCAGACGTCGAGCAGCAAGACGGCCGTGGAAGTCGTGGAGGTCGTGGAAGTCGTGGAAGCCGTCGGGGCGTGGGCAAGCGAGGGAGTGGGATGGACGGCGGCATACACAGACGAGCAGCATCAATTGGCAGGCTGTCTCTGTATATAAACCCACTAGGTATCTCTGTAGGCCAGTGCCATCAGGCAGCGTAACACAGTCTTCAAGGTAAACAAATATACGTGAAGTGAAGTCAAGTATACACAACGAGGTAAGAAGAAGAGGTTGAGTTCTGGACTTCCGCTTTAGTCATCCTCTTTCTCCCCGCCTCAACCTTTCGGCCGCCAAACGCCAACCTCAGCCTGCCTGCTTCACTCACCACAGTGTCAGCTCCAGCTCCAGCGACAGCTACAGCGAACACACCTACGGACGGACGAAACGACGCCAATTCGACAGTCTCTTCACCATGGCAGACCAAGCAGTGTAAGTCCGGGCTCGCAGACAGAAGATGCTAGATATGGATGCTGACCTGGGAACTTGCTCTGGCAGTGCTGATTTCGGCCTCATCGGCCTGGCCGTGATGGGTCAGAACCTCATCATGAACGTGGCTGACCATGGATTCACCGTCGTGGCCTTCAACCGCACAGTCGAGAAGGTCGATAGGTTCCTTGCCAATGAGGCCAAGGGTAGGTCTTCCTTGCTGCCCTTTATAGATAGCCAGAGACAGGAGCTGATAGCCGGAGCAGGGAAATCGATCGTGGGAGCCCACTCAGTGCAGGAATTCTGCGCGAAGCTGAAGAAGCCGCGTCGTATCATGCTGCTGGTCATGGCCGGCAAGCCTGTCGACGACTTCATCGAGAGCTTGCTCCCCTTCGTCGAGAAGGGTGACATCATCATCGACGGCGGCAACTCTCACTACCCGGACTCCAACCGCAGAACCAAGTACCTGGCCGAGAAGGGCATCCGGTTCGTGGGTACCGGCGTCTCGGGCGGCGAAGAGGGTGCCCGTTACGGCCCCAGCTTGATGCCGGGCGGCAACGAGGAGGCCTGGCCCTTTATCAAGGATATTTTCCAGAGCGTGGCGGCCAAGAGTGATGGTGAGGCCTGCTGCGACTGGGTTGGTGACGAGGGTGCCGGACACTACGTTAAGATGGTGCACAACGGCATCGAGTACGGAGATATGCAATTGATCACCGAGGTATGCCCCTTTTCTTTCTCCTTCTTTATCTTCTTCTTCTTCTTCTTCTTCTTCTTCTTATTTCCTCTTATTCTTGGTTTATATGTTCTATGTCTAACTTCTACAGGCATATGATATCCTGAAGCGGGGTCTGGGCATGACCCCCGCTGAGATCGGTGATGTCTTCGAGAAATGGAACAAGGGCGTTCTAGACTCCTTCCTGATCGAAATCACCCGTGACATCCTCCGCCACAAGGACGACGACGGCACCGCCCTGCTCGAGAAGATCCTCGATGCTGCCGGCCAGAAGGGAACCGGCAAGTGGACTGCCATCAACGCTCTCGATCTCGGCATGCCGGTCACCCTGATCGGAGAAGCCGTGTTCGGCAGATGTCTTAGCTCGCTCAAAGGACGAGCGTATCCGAGCCAGCAAGGTGCTCAAAGGGGCCCGAGCCAGACTTCAAGGGAGACCGCGAGCAGTTCATCAACAACCTCGAACAAGCTCTCTATGCCTCCAAGATCATCTCCTACGCTCAGGGATTCATGCTTATTCAGGAGGTGAGGTCCTTTTTTCTTATCAATTGAAATAATTGAAATACTTTGTGTCGTCCATTTCAAGTACACCGAACTAACGTGCTATGTAGGCTGCCAAAAAATACGAGTGGAAGCTAAACAAGCCATCCATTGCTCTGATGTGGAGAGGCGGCTGCATCATCCGCTCCGTCTTCCTCAAGGACATCACCAACGCCTACCGCAACAACCCAGACCTAGAGAACCTGCTGTTCGACGACTTCTTCAACAAGGCCATCCACAACGCCCAGTCCGGCTGGCGAGACGTGGTCTCCAAGTCTGCTCTCTGGGGCATCCCAACCCCTGCCTTCAGCACCGCCCTCAGCTTCTACGACGGCTACAGGTCGCGTGACCTGCCAGCCAACCTCCTGCAGGCCCAGCGCGACTACTTCGGCGCCCACACCTTCAGGATCAAGCCCGAGTATGCCAGCGAGAAGTATCCGGAGGGCGAGAACATCCACGTCAACTGGACAGGAAGAGGCGGCAATGTGTCTGCCTCGACATACCAGGCTTAGTCCTTAGTTACCTAGTTAACTAAGTAACTAGTTAGTCGTTCGTTGCAGCAAGTTTGAACAAAATTCCGTGCTTTTGAGTTCTAAAACCGAAACTGAAACGAAGGCAAGGATGTAGAACAGAAGGATTCCTTTTACGTTTCCCCTACCTATTAACTATATATTACGAAAGTTCCTTACTTTTTCCTTTTCTTCTCCTTCTTTCTTTCTCACTCACTCGTTCAACAATAGGTTAGGGAGCAGTACCATCCGCCATCCAACACCAGACCGGTGCAATTGATTATGCAAAAAGCTCATATTTATCATGGTATCGACTCTGAAAATATGACAGCATAAATAAATACATAAAGAGGTAAGTCATATATATGTAACAAGGAAGAAGAAAAAATAAAAGAAAAAGGGGCCGTGAAATAGTAGTAAGTAGAAGAAATAAAGATAAAGGAAAAAATAATGTCGAATCGGAATCGTATTTCATTTAAGCGTCTGTCTCGATAATCCAGCTCTCCACCATGGCCCGGACAAGACCCACCACTACATCAGCGCCCATCTCCACGCTAGCTTTGTCTGTCCAGCCAGGAACATGCAAGAACAGTGCTGCCCGCGGCCTGTTCTCCCCCCACGCCATCGACAAGCTGGTATAATAGATGTATTCACACAGGTAATGGCCCGCATCATGAGATAGACGGACATCAATTGACCGTCCTGCAGGTAGACTTTTCCTCCACGTCTGCAAGAAGCTTGTATCAATCGGTGACGGAGCAACTTTGACCTTATCCGTAGACTCGGATGTAGAGTTGGATGTAGAATTTGACGGAGCAGGAACACCGGGTTGTAATCTGTCAGGCAAGGATTCGTCGAAGGGCACTGCAAACTGTCCATCTACATCTGTATGCTTGTATCCTTCTCGGTGAGCCACTGTCTCAACGGCATAGTACTGTCTGGTTGCGGCCATGCCGATATGAATGACCAAGTGAGGTGGACGGCCACCATGGGCTGCTCGGAACTGCTCGATGATACGAGGCATTTCATCACGAACCGTGGCGTAGGCTACTCTGATCGGCCGTGGGTGGGCGTGGATGTGAACTCGGCGGTTTTTGCTGGTGGGGGCGTATTGTGGTAGGATAGAGTTGATTAGCCATGATGGGTTGAGAGGATGGGTTTTGAATGGCTACATATGGCATATTTTGTTAGCTAGTTCCTTGACCTGCATTGTATTTGTGGTTGTATTTGTGATTGTAATTGTTGTAGAGAGGATAGGGGCTTGGTTACTCACGCCGAAACCGGTGACAAGGACGTGGATGTCGTCGTCGTCTTCTGTGGTAATGGGCTGTCCTGGGAGAGAGACGTGCTCGTCGAGGGAAGAGGTGGCTCCGAAGTCACCCATCGTGAGTACAGGTCAGGGTATACTGTGTCAATGAGAGGGTGTAGACGACGGGGACGCGGGCAGCTGCGAGGGAAGAGTTGGTGTAACTTGGTGGCTTGTGGTGGGAGAAGCCGAGGTCGCTATCACGCCACAGGAGATAACGAGGAGATAAGCAGTGATAGTTAAAGATGTGATTAAAGTGATAGGTGAAAATGGAGAGAGACAAGCAACCAGAGGAGACGAGGAAGCCAGTTATATAGCTCTCTGCCCGCCAGCTACGGTGGCTTGTCCAGCTGATGCCCGGCGCCGCTCCGCAGAGGATCAAGAACTGCTCTCGGTCTCTCGTCTGCCTCCGACTGTCACTGAACGAACTCCCGTAACAAGTTACCTAACTAGTTGACTACGAACTCCTTCACGTCTACAAGGCCCCGGCAGATGACCGTCCAGGGGCAACCGGCTATCATCCTAATAATAGTGCATGCATTGCTGTCGACAGCACGGTTATCCGTCCGTCTCCTCCTTCTGTTCCCCCCAGAATCAAGAGATCAAAAGAAAAGACCTCCCTATCTGAGCTAGCGAGCTTCACGGAGTTCGATGAGATGGGCGTAGATCAGGGCTAGGGTCATGGATCGGGTGGTCTCCGGCAGCAGGGATCGAGCAGGCTCTTCTGCTATTTATATGACTGTCTGGATGTCCCGGCCCATCTTATCTCGCGAACTGTGCTATAAATATACGTTTCATCCCTATACAGGTTCATCATCGAGGGTCATGGCGTGGTCGATGCATGCATATCGAGAGAGAGACCGTTGACAACCTGCTGAGTTGTCCTCCTCTTTGACATGGTATCTCTGGCTTCAAGAACCGTATCCCAGTCGCTCTTCCATCTCTACCGTCTGTCTGTCTGTCTACCGTCTCCACCAGCTTCCGCCATCATCCGTCGTCTAGTTACTTGCTTCATCTTCATCTTCTGCGTTTATCTTCGTCTTCATCTTTCGCTCACATCTTGCTGTCCGACTCTGATGCTAGCCCTAAACCCTAAGCCCTAACTTGAGTAGAAAACATTGAGTCATGTGATCTGTTGTCATATGACTTAAACCTTCTTAAGCCAAGATATGTTCTTGGCATTGCCCCACTCTCTATTTCTGTTGCTCCTTTTAGCGGTATTTAATCCTTGCACTGTATTTACCATATTCTGCCCGCTTGGTTGGTTAGATACTAGAGTAATCGTATCGTTCCTGCTGAGTCACCCGTATTTGGTACAGGCCTCCTGTACGGGAAACTTACAGCGGAGAGCAGGGTTACATAAGCAAATACCCCTGCTGTGTCGCCACAATGCGCAATGCACAATGTGAGAGCTAAGGGGGAGGGAGGAAGGGCCAGCGGTATGAAGTCCTGGTGAGTGAGCGAGTCGCTTGTACGGAGTAAGTACGCCGAAATCCAGGCTCTGGCAGACTGCCTGACGGGCTTTGAAACGGCCCGTAACACCCAGACGTCAGCCCTAGGGGAGCTGGAACAATAGTTTTGCTTATGGAGCCCGAACTTTCCTTCAAGGCACCGCTACCCGAAACCTTATTTCTTTTCATGTGATGCGTTCTGTTTACTCCCTCTTATCTCGCTGTTCTATATCTTGCTGTCCTCTTCCTCCTCTTCTGCCTAACGTTTCCCTTTTTTATCTCTCACTTTGTGTGCTGATATCTTTCCTTTTTCCCCTCGGCTAGCTGTTATAGCTACACCATAGCTATTGATACGTGATGTTCCTCCTCTCGGGCCAATTGCAAGGTCTTTGATTACCCACCTACCTTGGTTCAGAAGACCTGAAGAAAACTACACGTAGGCGCTTGTTCGCCTTTCATCCAGCCTTTACGATAGCCGACCTATCCATCAAGGCCCCCTATGTGCAGTTACGTGTGGATAGTCTACCACTGAACTCACATAGCCTGGAATATCACCAACCAACCTCGGTTCTGCCAGCCGTATGGGCCCTTGCTTCGATGGACGACATGCTATTACCCGAGTCGAATATTACGGAGATGGGCGTCTCCTAATTTAATCAAATGACCATTATATTCTCCCCGGCCTTGTTCCTTGTCGACTTCTATACCTAAGTCCTATGGAACTGTCGTGGGAGATAAGCTTATAATCGGCCATGTTACGCAGAAGGATAGTTTTTGGACCCTTTTGCAGCCACAGTGTACTCTGATGTACTCTGTGTGGCTGCTGAGGGTCTATAGAGGTAGCGATTACTGTCTCTGCTCCTTCTTTTGCTCAGAACCTAGTTATCGTTAATATAACGAGAGCTCTTGGCTTCGCGGATTGCGGAGAACTACGGAGTACCGAGAGCTACAAAACGGCTCTGTGCTATAAAATACACATCTATATATTTTACGGGGAGGAGAACATGTTCACTACCATGACCGTCTTTCGATAACCCCCATATCGACCCACTGATTTGCCCTTCTATACGGAGTAACATGATTGCAACTTCAATCGACGCTGGGCTTTCCAACAGCCACCATCACCACAACAACTACTTTAATGGCTCATGGTATTACATGCGGAGCACCATAGTTGCTTTTGCCAAAGAGTTCTAGTTCTTCCAGTCATGTGTCATGTCGATGGGTAATCTCTGACATCCGTTGTGTGCACAAATCGGTCCAAGACAATGGAACCTGCTACGGATCCACTGGGCACCAGGCATTTTGGTTTCTATTTGGCGTTCTTCATTGGCTATCCAAGTGTCCTAAATTACGAGCCAACGGTACCTCCAATCAGCTAAATAAATGTTCAATATTTTGATGGGTACAAGTTCCTAGTGTATTCAACATCATAAACAGTCTAATGAAA